TGTTCATACACCGATTGTTGCCTAGACCATTTGAGCCAAGCCACCTCTACACGGAAGAATTTGGGACAACAAAGCAGTAAGGGACTAGTGTAGCATTTGATAGAGGCTTTTAATAGTGTGTGAGGGTACAATGATACCTGGGTCATTTCCTCCTTGTGCTCCATACGGACAGCCAACCGCCCGTGGTCGAGGCGAACTGGTCACGGTTTGCCGTGGAATGCTTCGGGTTTCTCTGGAGTGAGCAGCGATTAATTGAAATAGGCTGCATAATTTTCAATAATCCTGGAAACCATACATTTCATACCATTCCACTCCCGCTGCATGGTGTACGAGCACTGTGCCGCCGAACGAGGTTCTGTTGGACACCAGCTGGAGGCCGGCGTTCCGTCTCAACTCAGCGATCAGGGCAAAAAACATGTGTTTACTAGTCATTATAGCATTCTTAATAAAGCATAACCAGGTTTTTGAATGAGAAATCGGCGCCCTTTTCCCCAGGAAAAAGCCTGTGCCTCGATGTCGGCAATGGGAGTGCAAGACAAGCATATTTGCATTCGTGTTCTGCGAGCTCATTGCTTCGGTGTCAATGTCCCCTCACCCTGTCTAGAATCTTTTGTATAGTAATAATAATATGTATTGTTTTTTAGTTATTTGCCCTGTGCTGGGATTGCAAGAGGCTGCGTAGCTCAGTCGCAATGCACCGGCCTGCCCACCAGGAACAGGAACAGCGTCATGTGCACCCCAGGCGCCGACTGCCTCAAAGCTGCTGCAGCAAACAATAAGGTCGTAGTTAATGCGATTTGAGTAGGGTCGATATAACCTGATGATCTTTTGGGTTGCATCTAGGCTTCGTGTTCGACTACAGAGACAACCATACGGTGACAATGGCACCTCTCAAACTGCTCACAGTCGTCAGTTCCTCGCTCCTCTTCCTGGCCAAAGCCAACGGCGAGGCCCCATCCGAGCAGCCAACTTATACTCTAGACTTGGGTAGGTCTCCCAGTAACAAGTGCTCTTCACTGCTTGGACCATGCCCTTGGATGGCAAAAACCCATCAACTGACAAGGCCCCCATAGTGTGCACTAGAGAGCATACCCACACGAATGGTCTTGGCATCCCGCGAATTCAAAGGTTTCCATGTAACATTTTTTTGATTGCAAACGATTCTTTACACATGCGCGGTAATTTGGTCTCTTTGCTGCAGGAGATGAAGGAAAGTGCCTCGACGAGGTCAATGCTGCTCGCGTGGCAGCTGGCCTCGG